TCAAATCTTGTTAAAAAAAATCAAAAATAAGTCATCAAAATCATTTTGAAAGAAACATTGAATTCACGCTATATGACGTCAGTGTCAATCGGTGTAAAATTGATTGATTATTCCCTATTATCGCAACGTTATTAAACAAAAATTGGGTTATCCAGTTCATAGTTCGATGTGTCTTTGGCAACAACATTAGAGTTGAAGAATCATTATATGGGAATCACAGTTTCGTTCAAGAGTTAAATCCAAAAATTCTCCCAACATTCACTGGGTCATGGTCAACAAGAAGCCACGAAGTTTTTCTGATGTATTCTGGAAGGATTTAACCAGGAAATGACCAAAATCATTGGAAACTCGAACAAGGTAGATTGAGTGACAGAAAAAAAGCAATAAGAGTTTGGATCGAGATTTTGAAGAATAGAGTTCTTACATAACGAACAGAAGAATAGCATGGTAACTGCAGTTGCTAAAAGGCCCACTAGCAACTTCAAAATTGATTTCTACAACATCAGAGGACTCAACTCAAATATAAACTTGGGGCACCAATATCTGCAAACAAATAGTCTTCATATTATTGCATTTACCAAAACCAAAGTCAGTGCTTCAACACACCCTGTCAATTTTCTATATCCCGGCTATAATTTCCACTCCCGTTTGTGACGTAACTTTGGAATATCTCTTTTCAGTCAACGATCTCTCCAGTCAACTTTGATGTTATGTGGTTTAAAAAAATATCACAGATCACTATATTCATATGCTGCGTTTATCGACCACCAAGCGATACACAATATAGGACACTATTCTCTTTAAATGCAAACACCATTGACTTTCTGCAAATCATTCATACCAGTGCCGGAATTTCCATATTCACTGACTTCAATATGCACAATATCAAATTGCTCAAATTTTCAAATATCAACGACGAACAAGGTCGCTAAGCTGAGGCTTTTGCAATAATCAGTGGAATTACTCAGATCATAAATGAGCCAACCAAGATTCCTGACCGTGATGGGGAATATGCCAGTCTTCTGGATCTATACAGTTGTAAATCATGCCCTACAGAAAATAACGCCGAGCGCCACTGATAGCCATGAACCAATCGTGACGTAGCTAAGAGCGCACGAATGTTCGATGTTCGCTGCCACTCTAGATGTAGCGAGAATAATGCTACCGATATCGACGGAATTCCGGCGAAATTTTCTAGCGCATTCGATTACGATATATAAACGCTAGCCACGAGCATATCGATACAGTCAAGTGAAAGTAACAGTGCGGTATGCGAAGCGATCTAGTAAGGCGATAGTTGAAATTTTAGGTGAAGTGTTTGATGTATTTAAAGTGAAATAAAGTTGAGTTTTATTATTCAGTGTACACAATTATTGGTCAACCCCCGGGGAAAAACTTAGCAATACCTAACAACCAATCAAGAAATTTACACAGTCACCGTAATGTCTCTATTGAGATCTTCTGACTACAAATTCATTTCAGTGTTGAATGAATTACCAATGACTGTTGGGGAACAATCTAAGTCGCGAAAAGTTTTGCATTACAGATCCGCTATGTGGGAGTATCTTCAAGACCACTTCCGAACTTTCACCTGACTAGATGCTTGTTTCAGCTCTAATGATCTCATAACTTGTGCTTTCGAAGTCACGGAATTTATTCTATCATACATGGAAGCATATATTCGTTTTTCAATGAAACGAACATCTAACGGCAAACAAAATTGCAAGCAAGCTGTTGCCTCCAGAAAGCTCGCCTACAAGCAGTGGCGCAAAAATTCCAGTGACAAAAACCGAACAGCTGCAAACTTAGAATGAATGGAAGCAAATAACAGTCAGAGAACCAGGGATAAACTGCTTGCGAATCCCAACGGGTCTAGATCTTTCTAGTCGGTAGCCAAAGCTGTTAATCGAAACTTCACAAAATTCACAATTCCACCACTAACAGAAGCGGATGGTTCAATTGCAAACACAGCCATAGAAAAAGCAAATCTACCAACTGAACGATTGGCATTCCACTACACAGTCGATTTTCTGGGAAATACACCACCCACTATTCTCACATCAGTATCCACAATGCCGGAAAATACTTTTCGACAGCATCTTGTCAGGCGAATTTTGAAACAGCTCAATATCAACAAGGCGTCTGGCCCTGATGAAGTGCTCGTCATTGTACTCAAAAAGTGAGCAAATAAAGTCGCACCAGTATTTTACACACTTTTCAACCTGTCATACAAGGAAGTGGCTTTTCCTTCCTGTTGGAATATTGCTCGCGTTCAGCCTATTCCTAAAAAAGGAAATACAAATTTTTCGAATAACTATAAACCAGTCGCTTTGCTATCAGTGATATAAAAAATCAGGAAGAAAGTCACGAACCAACATATCCTAGAATATTTGAAAGGCTTTGAAATCTTGAGCGATCATCAGTAAGGCTTTCGGAAACAAATATCAACAGGCGACCTTCTATCGCATGTCATACACATATTTGAAATAACCCAATCCAGACCGTGTGTGGAATGAGGGTTTGCTGGCCAATCTTCTTTGCTATGGTTTGTCGGATCATTTCTATATATGTCTCTCCAGCTTCCTGAAAAAAAGTTTCCTGCAAGTAGCCATCTATGGATATCTCTCTAATACTTATATCATCGAGGCCGATGTTTACCACGGGCACATATTGTCTCCACCCCTCTTTTTATTATATATCAACAACTTATTGCACAAAAACCGGATATATTGCTTTACTGATGACAGCACATTTGTCTCGTCATTCCATTTGAATTCCAGAACATCGGCTACGGATGCACCGACAGCTGGAGGTTGCATATATCAACTAGAATCTAGAGATGATTTCTAATTGATGTGAAAGTATTCAGGTTCAGTTCAATACATCTAAAACCCAGGCATCGGTTTCCTCCATAAACATAAATATCTCCGAACCGAATAAAATAGTGTCAGGACAGACCAGTCCGCTATCTGCTTCGATAAGTTTGTTCGGGATCTAAATGGGCAACAATATGTCTTGGTACAACATGCCGCTGGAATTGCAAAAGCTGTTCCTAACCAGAAAACTGTACAAACCTCAGCAACTTTTGATGCTTTATAAAGCACAGATCAGACCTTTTTTGGAGTATTGTTCACATGTATGGAGCTCCGTTCCTAAGCATACCCTGAATCTGCTGGATTCCATCCAGAAAAGAGCTATCCACCGGATTGGAGACAGGAACATTACTTGCAACTTTGGCAGTCTGGAACATCAAAAAAATGTTGGGGAATTGTCTATCCGTCATAGACTTATGATGCACTGTTTGGAGTTTTTTCCCAACACCAAATCGTTATTTTTAACATCTCGACACCTGTTTTGATCACCAACTGATCATCTTCAAGAGGAAGATTAAACAGAAAAACTTGCGATACTTATCCAATTTATGCTATACAGGTATACCATACAGGTATAACACACATATAGGTATACACCTTTGGTGTCTTAAATTAGGTTTACAATTTGCCTTATCTAATAATTTTACAGTATGTCCTTATGTAATGTTTGGATGTTATAGCTATATATAAAACAATTTTCAAGCTATATAAAAATTAATTTCACAATATTGCCTATCTAAATTTATTTTTACAATGTGTCCTTATGCAACAGTCAGTAAATCTAATAATATTATTTTTTCTACACCCGTACTCTAACAATACACTTATAAGACCATAATCCGTTTCATAATGATATCCATTATGATACAGATTTTTCATAACGATACAGACTATCAACCAATAGAAACTCATAATTTTTCAATCAAGAATCCTGTTCCTTTGTTTGTCCTAGATTCTAACCTAAGTAACTAATTGCTTTATTTTCTCATGTAATGGTTATTAATACACTCGCATATACCATACAAAACTCGCCTTCGGCTCGTTTCGTATCCCGGTTAATGCTCGTGTCTTAATAACCATCATTACATGATCGTGGCATAATATACTATTAACAACCTATATAGTATGCTATTTGGTACTGGTCCGTCATCGTTATTCATAATATTATGTTTACTTATTTCTATACTCTCATAGGCATCTAGTTGCCAGTTGTTAATTTGTCTAACTAATCTTAATGAACTGACGTCTATGGAATGGTGATGGGCGACTGCTGATTTTCCAGGTCTTCCATATTTTAAGTGTGCTAGGTGTACCTTATATCTTACTTTAATGGATCTTTTTGTGTGTCCATAATATTTTGCATCGCAGTCCTTATATTCAATTTCGTTAATTCCAGACTTTTCCGAATTCTCAACTTTGTCTTGGACTTACCAGAAGGATCTTTAGTGTATGACTTGTTTGAAAATCCACCTTCATACCTAGTTCCTTGAAAATCTTTCCAAAGTCTTCATGTATCGGTGTTATGGAACTGAGATGTATTTATCTTGGTTTCCGCCCTTTCTGAAAGTCGAGATTTCGTTCATTCTTCACCTAAATTTTTTCTTTCTTATTATGTCATCTGTATTGTACTATGTATTGTATTATGTATTGTATAACGTATTATATTATGTATTGTATTATGTATTGTATTATGTATTGTATTATGTATCTGTATTGTACGTTTTTTTTGTGAACCTCTCATGTGTTAGAGGGAAAGTCAAAAGACGATGCACGTTTGTGCTGTCCACAGTGAATTGTCAGGAATATACCTGTACGTGCTTGTTTCTTTTCTAAATATATCGTAATCTAACCCTCCATATTGGTTCCTCATTACCAAAACGTCAAGAAATGGTAGTTATCCCTTATTTTCTAACTCACACATATTTTATTGATGAACATCTATTATTTAAAAAGGAAACAAAGTCCTCAATATTCGAGTTTTTGGTATCGAATATCGCGAAAATATCATCCACATACCTTAGCCAAATCCTAGGAAAATATTTTTCCTTGGTTTCCATTTCGAAGGTGCGTTTCAATATAGTTTTCTTTGCTAGTATACTCAAGAATGAACAAAGTGAGAGTCACAAATTAACGAAGGACTTTTTAGTCCAAGATTATATGATTCATTTAATAGCAAAACTATTTTCAATATAATCATTTAACTACTTATTAAATGTCTTGTTTTCGCTCGTGAATTAAAATTTATGAGTTGTTGAGTGGATTTTCGGGAGATTTTTGCCATTCTTTGAAAATTGTCTGCTTCATTTGCGATAAACGCAGGCCATTGTCAGCTTTTTTTAATTCTTCAAGACGTTTTTTCTCGTATGCAGAATACGCTGCTTTCAATCGTTTTTCTGGATGTTTATCAATTTCTTTCTCCTTGAAAATACCAATAGCTTCGTCCACTGTTCTTGCGGATTCCTCTCCAACTTGCAATCTGTTGAGATTTTCAAATAAAGGTGACACAGATGGCTTTTCGAAATGTTCCGCTTCCTTCTGCTCCACAGGTACTGTGAGTCTTGATTTTATTTCAGCTCTTGTAACTTTTTTAGTGGGCTTTTCGGAAGCTTCCTCCATCTCCTTCTGTAAGATTTTTTTTGTTTCAGCCTTTCTCTGCAGCGTTTGTTGTTTCTTCCTTTCGTCAGCTTCCTTTTTTTGTTGTTTCTTCAGTGAGCCTTTATGTTCATCCTTAAACTCATCATTTTCAATTGATTTATGTTCAGTTTGTGACTTTTCTTTCGACTGTTTTTTTCTCTCTCGAGCGGCAACTGCTTTAGTGTTTTCACCAGAGAATTTTTTTGGCATTTTTTCAGTAGAGATATTTGACAAACTGTACATTGCAACTGTCAGATATATCAAATACAGCTAAGGGTTAATTTTGATGACATCTCAAGTTTTCTTCCAGAAGTAGATTGATTATTCTGCTTAAGTATATGAATAAAACTTGTTTTGGAGGCAATGAAATCCTGATTTATTATAACGAAATACTCTAATTTTCACCTGATTTTTTTCCGTTACATATTGTAAATTATTACTTCAATGAATGTAACTTCTACTTGAATATAGAAGCCTGGGATAATTGAATACTCATGGTTTTCATTTGAGGACAGATGGTATGTTTAACGGAATCTATCAAATCTTCCACATGCACTTCTTCATGAGTAAAAATAACTGATATTTTTCATTTTTTTATTGTTCAGAAATCTTCCCCAAATCACATAGACTTTCCAAAGACCTCCATCCACAGGATTATCACTGGTATACCATGTACTATATTCCTACGATTTGAAATTTCAATTGTGTAACGAAAAAGTTTTTTCTGTCAACCCAAGTTGGTTGTTACATAACAATTGGTGTGTTGATGAAGCTGATACGAATACTAATAGATACTTTATGAGGTTATGAAGATAACTGTTACTGAATATTTGAAAACAGTTTTCAAATTGATTTTGTCATATCAATTTGTTATAATTGCTTTTTTTCCACACACATGAAAAATTGAATTGAATAATATTATGAAGAAACTAGTAAAATTTTTTCGTGGAAATACATTACCATTTCCATGAAATTGCGTAAAAATAATTTGAGTAAAAATATTTATGAAGGTTGATTTACGAAAGAGTAAAATATGAAAAGTCTCATTTCGAACGATTCTCTTTCCTGCAAATTAGATTAAATTAGATTAGAGATTTCTTCCAACTGTTATATCTGTTTCGATTCCAAAATTCAAAAATTCTATATACAGGGCTATTCAAATTCGTTTCTGTACATGGGGATCTCGTAAACGATACGAGATAGAGTGTCAGTTGAATTATGGCAAAGTTGCGTATTTCAGAGACCTATTCAATGATGTAAAGAAATTGAATATAGCTCTTTTGGTTCTAAAGATATACAGGAAAAACCAAAAAATCCCAAATTAATTATTTTTTTTGACTATATCTTCTTTATTCGCAAACATAATAAAAATCTGTCCAGATTTTGCTATTGGCACTTGATATGGGTTCTCAGAATATATCCATGAATCTTTTATACAGGGTGTCATCTGACTTGGGCCACCCCCATCTTCGAATTTTTAAATACGGGCCTGTATTTTCTGTTGTAGTTTTTGGATCGTAGACGTTCACTTCATACTGAGAAATTGAATTAAATTATATATTTCGGAATTTTTCGGTAATATTCGATTATAATTATGTGAATTATTCCCTTTTAATTACGGCCCTGGTATGTATTCAACACCTTGATGATTTAAAGAAAATTATCTAGAATTTCCATATCATTACACTCAGTTAGTTTGTATCCAGCTGAGATAATGAGTAATTCCGATCATAATGTATAGACATCTATTTGAATCTTCCTCTTGATCATCCTCTTGAAGATGATCACTTGCTGATTGAAACACGTGTCGAAATGTTAAAATAACGGTTTGGTGTTGGAAAAATACTCCAATAATATTCATCTATTTGAATCTTCAGAAAATATCTGCAAAAACAATAAAGAAATTAATCAATTCTACTGAATGGGTCGAACTCATCTCAATAGTACCTTTTGCCTCTGAACAAAATATGAATTCAGCATTCAATGCTCCCCCATGGGAAAATACCTTGAACTAGGGTGCATTATTAATCCTAGTTTCATCAAAGCGTGCGCTGCAAATGACTCTAGCCATCTCAGCATCAAGGCCGTTGATGTTGAGGGTTGAGCCAACATGCAGGTCAGGACTATCCAGAGCAGTGAGCAAAGTCAGCTAGATAAATAATCAAGGTATATTAGAATCCAACCTTAGGGAAACAATGAGTTTCGATAGAATTATTGTTCTCCAAATCCTCAACTGATTATTTTTTTCTCTTCTCTTGTATAGAATTGATTTGAAATGGAACAAACCAAAGTTTATTAACGTTCAATCATAGCCAGCAGGAGTTAGGCATCAAAAGGTTAACTTTGCTCTTACCTAGTAAGAATAAGAATTCAAATACAAATTCGAATACTAATACAAATACAAATACAAATTTGAGCAAATAACGCAAAATGGCAACATCAGTATACTTATATGATACAAGTTGTTGCCCGTGATTTCGCTTGCGTAGAATTTGGTTTGTCACATTTAGTTTCATGACAGACCATTTTAAACAAATAGTTCCAATATTTTTTTATCAACCCAAAACTTCAGATTTCCAACTTCAAATCTGACGAAATTCAATACAATCTTTAAACCCCTATTTTTGCCCCTTGGTGGTGGAGATTCCTGATTCCCTTTATTTATGCTTATTTCAAGATTCCAGGTTCAGTAGCTTCAGCTATACATTAATATAAGTGTGTCAGTCAATCAATAGGTACCCATTTATACAATATTTAATAGCATCAGCAAAAAAAACTGAATAGATTAGAATGAAATGCATTGGTTATCCTTCTAATTCTACTCCTACTAATATTATACATGCGTAAAGTTTGAGAGGACGGATGAATAAAGTGTATTGTAACGAATTAAAGAATTAACTGTCTTAATCAATTTTATTTTTAACAATATTTCACTATCACAACTAATTTATATACAACACTTAGTAACTAACGCTTAATTTATGTCCACAGTTAGATTCCTTTCTTTAAACGCACGATTCACTTTCTAAGTACAGACTACTTCTCGGGACGGAGAGCGACCTTTTTATATCGTCAACGAACGCTCCGGATCTCTCTGCGAATTTCGGGACTCATCCACACCTTTCGCGCTGTTTCACGATGAGACATGCGTTTGCTGACTGGGACATCGGTCAGGTCCGGCTTCAGATTCATTACAGTATGCATTTACTTTTTTTAACTTTTCACACCTAAACATCTCAACGGATTCAAATGTAAGTTGATGAATAAATAGATCATAATCTGGCATAACACACATAACATAACATACATAACACAGGGTAGGTTCCCACGGTAACGCGTGTAAAACAGCAAGGAACCGCTAGTTTTGTATAAGTGGCTACAATTTGATTGACTGACACTCTTATATTTACGTACAGCCGAAGCTACTGAACCTAGAATCTTGAAATATGCAGGAAGGTTTCTTGTATAGCTTAAATAAGTGTCAAGAAAAGGAATCAGGAATTTCCACTGCCAAAGGGAAAAATAGAGGGTCACAATTGTATTGAATTTCGTCAGTTTTAAAGTTGAAGACCTGAAGTTTTGGGTTAATGAAAAAAATGTAACTATTTATGTAAGCAAAAATTTTTCCAACACTTTTGTCTAATTTGACAGTGTGTATGTGTGTGTGTGTGTGTGTGTACTCCTAAAATAAAATCGTATTGGCATGAATATTCCATGTTTTATATTTGGTTGTTTTAAAAGTTCTGTCCGTTTCAATGTCATGTATTTTGGACGCTCCATATCTCAATTAATATTTGTTCTATTGTTCTGAGGTACATATTGATCGATAGAGAATTTTGTATTCTATACATTGATGATGGTTCTTTCCTAATTTCAATGTTTTTCCTTTTTTTCAGCTCATTACTATCTGATGTTGTTAAGCGATTTTTGGACAATTTTTCTCTACGAATTCAAATTGAACCAAAGCGCTGCCGAAACGAAAAATTAACCAGGCATTTGGCAATGATACTGATAATAAATGCACTGCTCGACGTTTTTTGTGCAATTTCATTCCGGAGATTTTAGCCTCAAAGGTGAGTCCCGAATTGGTCGACCTACCTACAGTAATCCAGGACGATAATTTGAGGACCGTGGTGGAGACAAACCCATTACAAACGATGCGTGGGATAGCGGAAGAACTGGGTGTCAGCTCCTATGTGGTTTTTGATACTTCCAAACGTACGACAGCAACATTCATTTCAGTGGTTTGACATTGATGAGCCACGCAGGCACTTCCCAGGGGCGAAAACCTACCATGGTAACTGTATGGTGATCAGCGACTTGTATAATTCCTAATAACTTACTGCAACTCGGCTAAACCATAACAGCAGAGTCATATTGTGAGAAAATCGACAAAATGTTTCAAAATTGCGTCAGCAGCAGCCCGATTAGTCAACAGAAGAGAATCCGATCCTGCTCCATAATAACGCCCGTCTTCACGGTTCACAAATCACCGTCCGAATATTAAACGAAGTTCTGCCTCACCCACCATACTCGCCAGACCTCTTGCTAACAGACTTTTACAAAAACTTCGATAACTTTTCCACTGGTAGAAACTTCGCCAATCAGAACCAGGCAAAAACGGTCATCGTCGACTTCATTATGCTGACGGAATTAATAGATTTTCCAAACAAAGAATTAATTTTATTTTCATTGATATTTGATGAAATGAATACTAATCAATATATCTCCCCAAACTGGAAGGTTTGATATAACAATCTGTATTTAACGAATTATAATATCTGTGGATCATTTTGGTATCTAGAAAAGGAAGAGTTTCATTACTTTTATAATCTACAGTAAATTGCAGTTCTGGATTATAATTATACACTTTTTATTTTTTCAAGTATTTCTTGGGATTTATTTTTCACACAAAACAACATCATCAACAATTTTTGTGAGAAATTGGACTTCGAAACTAAGTTCATCAAGAGTTCATTAAAAAGATCATCCATAACGTACTGTGTACGTTACACTCATTGGTGAAATTGTTACAACCATAAAAATTAACTCGAATTGAAAATACATTCAGTTATTTCAAGTATTTGAATTTATATGTATACATCTATACCTTCCAATTTCTAGATTTTTTCAACTCACATTTCTTTTCTATATTTTACTGTTCTTTTTCCACAAACTATCTTTGACGTACATTGTCATACATTTTTTAAGGACTATAGGAAAATCCTTTAGGCGCTCTTAGAGCGATGCCTGTGCGAAAATATTGATTCATATTGGATTTGAA